GAGAAGGGTTTTCTTCTGGATCTTGAGAGTTGTAGTTCTATGACTGATGGGACCCAAAGTAGGCTCTCCCTGCCAGCATGAGTAGGACAGGCTTGTCCTCGTCCCGTGCTGATGAACCTATGGCACGCGTGCCACAGGTGCCACGCAGAACCCTCTGCGGGCATGCATGCTGTCGCTCCAGTCAGCTCCACCGTGCATGTCCATGCGCCTCCCGCTTGCCAGCTGATTTTTGGGTCTCTGCCACACATGTGCGAGGGGGGTGCGGAATCCCCCCTCTGGGGCCTGTGTTTGGTCCCAAGAGCCTGCAGGGAGGTTTACTAGGCCCAAAATGAGGTGCGGCGGGCGCGGTGTTCCCCCCACTGCCTGTTTTTGCTCCCAGTAGGCTGCAGGAAGGCCTACTAAGCCCAAAAGAAGTTGCGGGGGGGGGTCATGCCGCATGCACACAGGGGGAGCATGGAGAGTCACACATGCATGCGTAGGGTACGGAGGGACTACGGGAGGGTCTTGGGTGCGTGTGCAGGAAGCAGGAACCTGGTGGATGTGGCAAAAGGTTAACCATCACTGTTATAGCAAGACAAGTTGCTTCATCAGGTAGCCTGGACCAATGCCATTCTCTAAAGGTAATAACCAACACCTTGAACTGCACTCGGAAGCATACTGACAGCCAATTAAGCAGAGGATCAGAGGTGTAATATGGGCCATCCTAAGAGCCCCAAAGACTGCTTTCAATTCAGCCTCTAGGACAGGTGTCAACCTCGTGGCATCACATGATGTATCACAACGGCTGCCAGTTTGACACTCCTGGCCTGTAGGCATTGCAAGAGGGCAGAGACAGCATCACTTGGGTCACCAAATATAGAGATGCAGAGCTGTATCATCAGCATATTGATGATACCTCAACCCATGGTGATGGACAATTAGCACACTCTGTTAGAGAAAGGGTTTTTTGCTGATAATCTTAAACCTTTATAAACATTTCTCATCAAAATAAAATTATACAAGCGGTATATAAGTCTAACTGCTATTGCTAATACAAGACCGCAAGTCCAACAGAGGTGGCAAACTTATAAGATGCCCCAAAGAGCAGAAATGGGGGGGGGAATAGGTGTGTAGGTGGGGATTAAAGAGGAGGCCACCGGTCACCTTTACCTTTTACTCCCAGTTCAGGGCAGGAAGGGACCAAGTCAATGGTAGTCTAATAGCTGGTGGGATTCAGTTAATGACAGCAACTGGGAGTTTGGGGGTTGCTATCGCTAAACAATATTTTGTAATATGCTTTATAACCACATTAACGGTGGAAATTCTGGTTCTAATTACTGTTGTAATTCAAGAATTACTTTTATGGAGCTTAAAATAAGATTAAACTGTTTGTTTCTGTAAGTCCAACCAAAAGCCTTCTGGCTAAAAATCTATATGGTGTTCCTCTGTGAGGCTTTTTTTTTTTAAGAATTTGGGATTAGAGCATCCAAGCAGTGGAGTATTTAGCTTTGTCT